TTTTTTTCGTGAAAATTCCTTGAGAAACCTAGTTTAGGTTCCATGTTGTATGATTCATCAAATCAGACTTTTGTGCTTGAAATTCATGTTTCTATAGCTCCATAGAAGAGAAAAACCCTCGATTCTAATCTGGATTTTGTCTGTGCAGCAGATATTTTGGTGGATTGAATTTTATTTTCGTTGTACAGAATCTGATCCTATTTTTAGACATAATTATATACCTCGAAGCGTTTAGCAGTACCAAACCTCAATGTCGACAAAGGGTCTCTACCGATTTACGCTGGAGAAATTCTCTCTGTGCACCGAAGTCATATCGGAAAAGCACATTCTCAGTGATTCTTTTACAGTTGGTGGCCACCGGTTGGCATTGGCCATATTTCCCGGTTTGTATGTGAATCGCGGCCAACATGGTGGACGGGTCTTCTACCTCGATCTCTGCATCAAGCTCCTGAGCGAATGCCATAATGGGGTCCTCTGTTCCTTCCGCATAACGCTGCTCGACCAGAGCTCGGCCGGGAAACATCTCACACGATCCTTTCCATCCACGATCGTTATGCCCAACCAGTGCACGGGCTATCATCACATTATAGCAATTCACTCCCTCGACCGGTTGGGTTATCTCCTGCACGACTGTCTGAAAATCGAGTGCGAAATCGAGGTTCACGAGTCGGCTGGCGGCGTTGCTCGTCCCGTGTGTGATGTTGGTGTCAATTTTCTTTCCATGCTGGACACTGACGAGGGCTGTGACGTTACTTTCAATGTGATGGGCAGGAGATTCCCTGCGCACAGTCCCGTGCTAAGAGCACGCTCCTCGGTTTTTGCATCCTTACTTGACGACAATCTTAACCATCGGGAAATGGTTGTCACCAGCATTGAGCCTCGGGTTTTTGAGGTAGACGAGCTTTTTTCTTGTGATGCAGTGATAGTGAAATATGATGTTGCTTTGATCTGATGTGAACGTTATTTCAGTGTTTGTTGCACTTCATATACTCGGATTCTCTGCCGGAGGATGAGAATCGGCTGTTGATGGATGGATATGCTTTTGGGCTGTCCGTTTCAGCCACTTTTGGGGCTAAATTGCTTGCAGCTGCAGATAAATATGACCTCAAACGTCTCAAGAGTATCTGTGAAGCTCATCTGTGGAGGACCATCTGTTTCGGACGTTTTTCAGAGATTCTGATACTAGCCGAACAATGTAATGCGTCTGAACTGAAAAAATTATGCTTTAAGTATGCTTCGGATAATCATGTTGGTAAGATCTTTTTCCTCTTTTTTGTTCCACCCCTGGGAAAATTTAAACTTTTTTGCGGAACTTTAGTAAAGATCAATTAAGGTTGATGAATTTATTTTTATTGCAGATCTTCTGGAGCTGGACAATTTCAAATGCCTTGAAAAGAAGTGTCCCTTGCTGCTGAAGGAGTTGAATAATTATATACTAAAACATACATCTAATAAGTGAGATTAAGGACAAGACTCTCTTATTAGGTTATTTGTTTGATTAGTTGATGTCATTTTGGGTTTTAGAGTTTTTAATTAATTATTTTTTTACCTTATGTATAATTATGTTGCAATAAACGTGATAATTTAAAAAAGCTAAAAATTAACTGCATGGGTTGGTATTGAACTAAGGCTGTATATGAATTAATGTGTTTGTAATATGTTATTAATAAACTGCTAAATATCATTAAAAATTCACACATTCGCACCCGAAAATTGAGTCTCCACGGATCGAGCTCGAGGTGTACATGAATTGATGAGTTTGTAATATTTTATTAATAAACTCCCAAATATAATTAAGAATTCATACATTTGCACCAGAAAATATCATTACAGTAATACTTGGTGCCATGGTTGCTGAATCGAAGGTGTGTTTTGTGTTTTATTTGTGTTTGTATACGTTGCATTTGTGCAAACCGAACACGCAGTAACAATAACATGCTTATGTTCGTACGATTAACAAACGAGCTAATAAGTGCCACATTCCCAATCTAAAAACCGGTGGCAAACCAAGTCTTATGCCTATCACAACTTGAATAAAAGAGAAGTAGTTTATTCACAAATTGTTGACCCAGGATTGAGAGCATCACATAAAAAGTTTTATATATATATATATATAAACATCCCAAATTGGAATGTTGGTTGATGCTACACCCCCGACCTGTGAATTTAATGGCCCAGCTAGGGTTAAAAAGTCAATGGTCTACATCCAAGTCAAAAATACATAGAGCAACATCAAAAGGAGAGAAAATAAAAATAAAAAATACAAGGATCACAAAATAACCGTTGTGGATCTAAAATCAAATCCTCATAAAAGGTTGTCCTGGTCAGAATGACCTGGCATGAAGTCCAAAATGCCAAATCTAGTCAGGGGCAGGAGGTGGCGGTCGACTGAATCTGAAGGATGTGTACTCTAACTGGTCCATCCGAATGAGCGTCCGAAGCCGGAGGGGAATGTCCTCAGGGCGGAGGGTGCGTCTCTGGGGTATAGATACCCCCGTGTTAGCAAGGAAATCGGCAGGCCGGTTTCCCTCCCGGAATATGTGTGAGACCTGGTAATGGATCGACCGGATGGTGTCTCTGATACGCATAAGATGATGCTGGATCTGCCATGAGCCCTGGTGGCCAGATGTCAAAAGTGTGATGACAACCGCAACATCCATCTCTATCCAGACATGAGAGGAGATCGAAGCGGGAATCTCGAGGCCAATCTGGAGCGCCTGAATCTTTGCATTATAACTCGAGGAGGCCCGGAGTGGCCCATGGAAGGCAGAGATGAGTGCCCCACCATGATCCCTAATCAGGCCCCCTCCTCCAACAGCTCCGGTATGTCTGTCGAAAGCGCCACCGGTGTTTAGCTTAACCCAAGGGGCTTTGGGTTTCAGCCAAATAACTGTCCTGGATCGTCGGTGCTGGACAGATAAAGGAGGTGGTGGCCTCAAACGATGGGGCGGTGTACACCCTGTCCAGTCTCTCGTCGTGAGTCTACCCATGGCAGTGAGGAGAGAGAGGTGTCTGTCAACCTGCAAAATAATGTGAGCACAAGAAAATATAATATCCTTATGCTTCGCATTATTACTTTATGTCCAGGTGGCCCAAAGGATCAAACAATGAATAAGGAAGCTCACGTGTCTACTGTGTGTGCGGTGAGCGAAAAAACTCAGAAGCTCACATAAAAAGTTTAATATGTTCCATTTGCTGGTTGCAGCAAACCTGTCGAACATTTCAAAAACCAAACACGTTAATGTTTCACTTTGTGTTATTGCAAGCCGAAACATATAAGGGTCTAAAAACGAGCCAAAATCAATAATAAACCACAGATGGCAGACTCGGCTCAGTTAGCACACATAATATTTTAATCTTCTGGCACCGGTATGCTTAACCCATTGACACTAATTCAACTTACTTAATAATTATTTTTAAAAAATAAATAAAAAATATATTAGAATATATTATTTATGCAAATATTTTCATAAGTTTCTATATGTTTGCAATTAGACCATCTTTATCCTCAACCCAACCCAACCCAACCTAACAATTAAAAATTATTTCTCTCTCTTCTACCTACACAACTCAACCTCACAAATAAATTTTATCTTTTATCCCCAACCCAACTCAACCTAAATATTTATTATAATTTAATTTATTTAGAAATTATAATTGTGTTCTAAAATATATCAGGTGTGATCTCTATTTGTAGAGAATGAAAAAATACGAACTTTAATATTTTTTTGTTTTTTTTAAAAACAAAAATATACACTTATCCAATACAAATGGGACAAGTGTCCCATTTTTTACACAAAGACCGGACGCGACCCGAGGTCGATCACAATGTGACCTGGGTCGCGCAAGTTATGACCTTTCCTTTTTTTTTTTTTAGTTTTGTTTTTTTTTTTTGGTTTTATTGTCGTGACCCAACTAGTGGGTCACGGATAAAGATAGTCTTATAATATTATATTAGAGTATATGAAGTATTTTGTGTTTAATTTAGTTACGGCGCAATCTCGAAAGGTTAGTCTCGTCTCTTGGTCTGAAGTCTGTCGGCCTAAGGATGAGGGAGGTCTTGGGATAAAGGAGCAGTGCTTGATGAATAAAGCCCTTCTCATGAAGCTCGTTTGGTAATTTCTGTCCGAGCCGAACCTACTTTGGTGTTGGGTACTTCGGGCTAAGTACCATTTGAACCCCATGGAGATGGGTGAGGACTTCCAATTCCCGCAAGGCTCGACAATTCTCAGGTCCATGCGGGGGGTGCAGAAGGACATATTCGCCGAGAGTCGTTGGTCGTACCGCTCGGTTCTGGTGGGACAAGTGGCTCCACATATCCATTCTGCTGATCCAGGTGGCGACGACACCGTTGCCGAAAATACAGCTCCACTCGCCGGTGGAGGATTTCATTACGACGAGGGGCGGCTGGAACTGGCCGCTGTTCCAGGCTCTGTTGCCGACTTTCTTTCTCGTGCGAATTTCTGCTCATCCGCCACCTCGAGCGCGTGGTGGGGCGGATAGGGTATATTTCGGCAAATGGACATTTGATCACGACTAAGTCGGCATACTTGGCGGTTGCGCAGCCGGCCCAGGGTCGTGGTGAGCGGTTGTGGCCAGTAATCTAGAAGCGGTTGCGACATTTTTTGTGGTTGGCGGTCCGCGAGAGCTTACTGACTAATGCTAATCGGTTTCGCTGTCATATAACGTCTTCCCCGGTATGTTCGGCGGACGAGTCTACGTAGCATGCGCTGAGAGATTGTCCGGCGGCAACTGATACCTAGTGGTTGTTGGTCCCAAGCGACCGCAGCCATGCTTTCTTTTCCCGGGACTTCTGCGGCTGGTTATCAGATAACCTCTCTGGCGAACTTAGCAGGTTGCGTGAGGACTGGGATAGTTTATTCGGGCTCACGGCTTGGCGCATTTGGCGATGGAGGAACTTACAGATTTTCCAAGGGGTCGTGCTCCCGACTTCGCGACGGGTCGAAGTGGTATTTGGCTATGCGGAGATGGTGCGGGACAACATGGCTAGTTGCCGCCAGATTGGGGTGACTAGTCTTCGTGAGATGCGGTGGATTGGGCTGACATTTTTTAATCGAAAATCGAACCAAACCAAACCGACGAGAAAATAAACTGAACTGTACCGAATTGCTTGTAACGGTAACCGACTATCAGATGCCGAATCACTATCGGTTCGGTATCGGTTTGAACCCATGAGTGTTCGGTAAAACCAATACGAACCGATAAGGTTAAAAAAAATTAAAACAAATATTTTTTGTTTAAATATTAAAACAAGGATTAATTTTTTAGTGTTCTAAAATTTGAATATGTATTCAACCCTACCTAAATCTCAAAATGACGAGAAAAATACCACTACTCATCGCTTCATTCACCTTCTCATCAGAAAATTGTCGATTTATCAGTCACACTCCTTCTAAAGAAGATACTACCGTTATTGCAGTCTATTCTTGTACCGCCGTTACTAGATAAGTTAGTTGAAGTTTAATGCAAGTGTGAGCGTCCTGGCCCGTTTTAGGATGGATCGAACCTCGCCTTCGCCGGTAGAACGCCGAAAACCTGCAAATAACTCTCACACCGAGGATTGTGTCCGGTGAAGAGCCTCCGATACTTAAGTCAGTATGTATATGAGTATACTGAAGAGAGTAATGGAAAAATCGTGTTTAGGAAGAAAGACTCACCCCCTTTATATAGGAGTGAGATACCTAACCTAAGGCTGCCCGGATTTGGTGAGCTGGCTGCCCAAGCTGCCCGTCCGTACTCTGACACACCGCGCGCATGTCAGAGGTGGCGCAGGAGGTTGGGAGATATCATAGGTGGTTGTCGCTATCAACCAATGTGTTCTCGACACGTGTCCTTCTGCACATGGAGTGAATATTCTTCTGAAATTCCGTTAGAGGCTCTTACACTCGCCTGTGACTAGGCCGATCCATAAAGTTTTAGGTCCGCGAAGTGGTCGACCTGTTGAGGTCGACTGATCTGTTCGATCGTTTACCTGGTCGAATGATGGATTGGTCGACTGCTTGACGGGTCGATTGCTTGACTGATCGATCTTTCCGCCACTTGGCTCGACGTCTTTGCAATACAGTCCTTTCGACCGGTTCAGCAGACCGGTTTAGCCTTGTGGGTATAATATCCTATATCAAAGTTGTATTACAAATTTTATTTCTTACATGTTCAACAATATATTATATTATTAGTTGCGTATAACACAAAAACCGTAATCTAATTATATTTAATCTAACTTCCATATATTAAATTTAAGCTTTTTAACCCTTCGATCGATTTGTGATCCTTTTTTGTGTATTTAATTGGTATGAAGTGAAAAATTTACAAAATTGACGAAAAAAGTAAACACTAGGATTTTTTTTTTTTTTTGCTCAAAATCGGTTCGGTATCGGTATAAAACCAAAACCGAACCGAGTTTTCGGTAACCTACTCTTATTGGTTCGGTAAAAGGTT